AAGTTAAAAATCAAATTGTCAATTTTTCAATTTGATTTTTCAACTTAATGAGACTGAAAATTTTAAAGATTTAAAGCCGAACCCCATTTATCTCCGGATCCTAGTGCTAGAGTACCAACTGCACCTCCCTTTGTGGGGAGCCATGACTGTAACTATACGTAGTATATAGTATAATTATATTGTGGCTTACTTCTAAAAAATTCTGAAACTTCTTCGTCGCCTAAAGACATACAAATTTATCTATATATAATCTCTTGATAAAATAATAAACTAAATATTTCAACATTATTTTCGTATCATCTCTTTCTATCTCTTTAATTTATTAATTTTATATAAAAAAAAAAGAATACTCTAACCTTTTGTATTTTGGCTGCTCATTTCTAAAATATAATCTTAATGTTTATTCTTGTGTCAAAAGCATAATAACTTTATTAGTTCCGAATTAAGATTAATTTTTTAAATGGATGATTAAAATAAGTAAACTTGTAAACGATAGAGATGAAACTTACTTGTAGTTCTTTGCTGTATTGTAGTTTGCAGTTCCTTGTTGTATAATCGATTTGAATAAGGAGAGAAAGCATGGCCAAGTTTTAGTGGTTTTAGAGTACAGTTGGCGCACATATCATAATGCAAAAATCAGATGATTTTTAAATCTATTAATTGAGCTGTTTTTATTATCGGATTTGGTGGATTTAATTAGATAACCTCAAGGTAGTTTTACAGTCGTTTAAGAGTTGGCGCATATATCGAAATACAAAAATCATTTAATATTTCTATTTTATATTTGAGCATTCCTATTACCGAATTTGGCGGAACTAAAATTATGACGTAATTTTAGCATTTTTGGGTTTTCTGTTTGTGTTAAGTTTTTTTTTATTAAGTTTCAGACTATAATTTTTTTTTTCATACCATCCGGTACTTGTTAGGACTCTTGCCCAGTTAATTTTCAAGAAAATTTCAGTTTGCATGTAAAACTTTTTTTTTATTAGAGAAAAAGTTGTCTCTCCAAATGCGCAGACTAAACTAATTTATCCAAAACTAAAGTATCTCTACCATGACATATGCGCAACAAATTTCAAACAGTGTTCTCAGGTTTTTTAGAAATTTTACACAGCTTTTTAAAAAGTTCTCTCCCTTTAGTTTGTTATAATATATAATATCTTTATATATATGTAATGCATATAATATCTATAGGCCTTTAAAAATGTTTTACTTTGGTTTTTAGAAATTTGGAAAATATTTAAAAAAATTATGAGTGTAAGCGAAAGGATTTTAACCCAAGCGAAGCATTTCAACCACTTTGGCATGCTGTATTATCTTTTAACACTGTTTCATAAACAGAAGACTTATTAAACTTTATAAAACGGCATATAAAATAAGGAGATGAAATTATAAAATAAGGAGATGAAATGCTATAAAATAAGGAGATGAAATTTTCAAGTTAAAGTAAATCTGTAAAAATTTATATTACCTACTTTATAAAAATACTGATTACTAATTACAGAACATGAAGTTTACATGTTAGATATATACATTACCGTCATAATTACTCGAATGGTCATATTTTTTTAATATAAGATATCAAAGTTTAATAAACTATTGGGAGAAAAACTGAAAACAATAATTACCTGAATTATGTTATCTTCCTATTTATTAGGTCTACAAATAAAATCAATATAAAGTTAGTTTATAATTTACTTGCCTAATAATCACCCTTATCAACAATAACCGTCATATATATTCTTGGCATTCTACTTAACGACCAAGTCAATTCTATGTCACAAACTAATAAGTTTTTTTCAAAAAAAAAATAATAACACCACTGTAAATCAATTTATTTATACATGATAACGAAACAAAATATATAAAAGTTTTATTTACAAAAAAAAATTCAACTACATCTGCATTATTAACTAACTACAAAAATACTAATTAAAGATATAGCGCAATATTTTCCCACCGCTATCTTCTCATATTTTATTTTTTACAGGATCCATACTAAGGATCCTTCTCATATTTTATTTTTTACAGGATCCTTATTAAGAAAGAAAAAGAAAAAAAAAATGGCGGAGGAGAGCGAGCTTTTGCTCTAAATTCGGGCCCACAACTTATGTGCCTCGCGAACTGCAATATGCTGAAAAAGCATCGTAAGATATATCTACGATAAAAAACTATCATATGATAGAATTAAAAACATCTTTATATAATAATCTTTATATAATAATACTACAAATCAATTTGCCTGCTGCTATTTTTATATAGCATTTTTAAAAACGGGCAAAATTTGAAATGAAAAGGAATTAATAACAAAATTGATGAAAAAGTCAATTAAACAAAATAACGAAACATAAAAGCTATAAGTGCAAACAAATTTTGTAATTTGACTGAAACAAAAAATTATTTTTACCTTGATGGCAACAGACTAAATTCTTTATAAACTATTAGCTAATGATCAACAAAGGAAATTTTAAATAATTAAAATTTACTTAGTTAAAACCATATTTAACAGTAGACCAAGTAAACTTATGATAGTTGCTAAAGTACCAAAGTAGAACTAAAGAAATAAAATAACAAAATTTAAAAAGTTTGTAATACAAAATAATTTATAATACATAAAAAAGATTAACTGCAGTTTAAAGTATTCACAAAATCTTAACTGACAATAAAATACCATCTTGCCGTGGATAATCATAAACACAGTCACAGCAGCAAATCATTTCAATATTTTGCATGTTCTACTGACTAAAATTTTGATAGTGTTTAATGCAGAAACAGAATCTTTCACCAAAAATTTACCTAATATTGAAAAAAATAGAAACAAAATTTGGAATTGAAAAAAACGCAAATGTAAAATTTTTAATAAGTAAATTTTAAAAGATTCTTTTAAAATAAATTAACTTAATAAAATCTTACCTGAATATCAAACACCTCCAGACAATAACACTCTACTAAATTATTAGATTCATAAAAAATACGATTGAATATCTAACACTATTTAAAACCAATAATAATAAAAAAATAATAATAAAAAACAACTTACTTATATTTAAAATAAGGTCAACATTAGCTTCTATAAAATTAACAGCCTGTCAAGATTCATCCCCTACTAAACAGACTGTTTCATTAAGTAAAGCATTAAAATCTTTAGCAACTTCAAAAGCAAATTAAAAAATACATACTACATATAAATAAAAGCATACTTAACAATTATATCATTTATATGATAATGATAATAGAATCTAAGATATCTCAAGAAATACAAAACTTACTGCTTGCAAATCTAAAATGCCTTGTGCATAACCAGTTAATAGCGGCCTGAGTTGACTCTTTCAAAACTATAAACACAGTATAATACTATTTCGATAGTTATCTGAATTGTCATTGTTGAGCACTTGGTTTGTAAAACGGGAGCAGATATGAAACTTTAAACTTTTTTATTATCTTAAGATTAAGTTATTTTAACTTTATATCATTTTTAAAAATAACCAAGTTGGAAAAAATGATTTATTTTAAATATAAAATAAATTTTTTACTCATATTCTTAATAAAAACAACTTATTTTATCCCCCTGACTGTGTTCAAAAAAAGTTTGTCGCGAAAGCTTTAATTTTTAAAAAGCAAAACAAAACAATTTCATAGTTCTCTTTTTATTGTGTTCTATTTTTGAATTTTTAAAAAAACCAATAAAAAATTTAAAAAAAAAAAGAAGGTTCTAACGATTGGACTCAAACCTCGATAGATATTTCAGAATGTCGTCCGCTCGGTCACACTGGCAAATATTCCTTTACTAAATACTTAGATACATATAAAACACGATTGAATATTTTACATAAAATTACATAAAACTAATTATAAAAAAAAAACTTACTTATATTCAAAATAAGGTCGTCTTTAGCTTGTATAAAATTAACAGCCAGTCAAGAATCAATACAACACCTAAAAAACAGAATGTTTCATTAAGTAAAACATTAGAAATTTAAAGTTCCGTAATTTTAAAAACAGATGCAAAAATAAATGCTATTTTTATAAGTATATTCAATAATTATATCATTTATGACAACAATAATAGAAGATACAATGTCATTTCAAGAAATACAAAAATCTTACCGAGTAAACATTTGCAATGCCTCGAGCAGTTTGTTCAGATCAGTTTAAAGTGTTCGAGTTGACTCTTCCAATCACATACGGAGAATCATACTATTTTGATGGTTTTCTAAATTCTGTCATTGTTGCGCACTCGGTTTAGAATATTTAACAGGGGCGTTGTAAATTAGCTGTAAAACTCTAAATATTTTTATTACCTAAATATCGATAGTTTTAACTTTTTTTTCATTTTAAAAAATAATAAATTTCATAAGATAATTTATCTTAAATTTAAAATTTTAAAATATTTTTTTAATAAAAATACATTTTTAAAACCCCCTTACTGTTTTAAATATTCAGGTCGCCGCGTGGCAAGTTCAAATCATCAGCTTGCTTTTTTTGTTAAATACACTTTATAGATTTTATATTCTATATATACACATGTTATATACTCAATTTCCTTGCGCGAACTCAACTTAGTTGGAGAAATGTAAATGTAAAACTAAAATAACATGACAAATAAGCGCAACAAATTTCTCCTGTTTTTTGATGTTTTTAGAACTTTCAAGCTTTCTTTAAAAATTCTCTTCCTTTCGTTTGTTTAAGTGTAAAACATTTTTACGTTTGTTAAGTATGTAATCTCTATACATAATCTTTATTTCGTACTTTAGAAAAACCGGAAATGAATTTAAAAAGAAAACATGCCATAGGTAGGATTCGAACCATGGCTCTTCAGGTCAGCTGCCAGCGAGCTGACCACTAAGCTATGCCACTATGAACGATTGAACAAATTTTAAAAATATATAGTAAATAAAAGTCTTTATAAAACGGCCATCGATCAAAATTAAGATGTTGCTGCAATGCAGTTTTCAAGTGAAAGTAAAACTTAAAAAACTTGATACATATTTTAGTATGTTTTGACATTTCGCATTTTGAAGTTTAAGTAAGTTATTTATTAGCACACACTTTCGTTAATGTTTTCTTATAAAAAGGTGCTGCGACTCTTCCTCGCCAGTACCTCGGTTGCAATGGCTGCGTTGGGTTTTGTGTCAAACGTGCTCGAAAGGGAACTACTACTATTGAGTTCCGTATTATTATATAAAGATGATGTGTTTCAGTTTTAATACACAGAACACCCAAAAAATACATAAGTATGCAAAACACATTACTTGACACTGATCCTGTGAAAGCAAAAAAAAAAAAAAAAAAAAATTAAAAAAATAAACAAATTTTTTAACTGACATAATAAAACAGAAATGTATTATAATGGCACTTTGGTTAACATTTGATTTTTCTAATGTTTCTAAATAGAATAAAGAAATTTATTAACAATAACATAGAAACTAATTTGCAATGTATAGAAAAACTAAAAAACCTGAAAACTAAAAAGTATTTAATGTTTGCAGAAAACAAACAGCAACAGAATAGAAAAAAAAATTATTCTAACCTTGATTGCGACGTACTAATTTTTTTTTTACACTATTAGGTAATGATCAACATAGTAAAGTTTAAATGACAAAAGTTTACTTTAAGTTAAAACCATATTTTATTGTAGATAAAGTAAATTTATGATTGTTGGTAGAGCACTAAAGTAAAACTAAAGAAAAAAATAAAACTTAACTAAATTAAAATGCAGTTAAACATGAAAAATAACTCTACCATCATGAGAAAAGGTAAAATTATAAAAACAAACAAACAAACAACAACAATAAAAGAATATTTCTTTTTATTAAAAATAAGAACCTCTTATTAAAAAAAATAACAGATCAATGAACAAATAGACTTATCGATTAAAAACATACAGAGTGAAAAAGCAATTTCGAAGTTCTTTTACAAATTTATTGTTAGTACTTATTAGATACCCCCTAACTCAGTGATTATTGTTGATTATTATAATAATTATTAACTGCAATTTAAAGTATTCACAAAATCTAAACTGAAAATAAAGTATTATTCTGACACGGAGAATCATAAACACGGCCACAGCAGCAAATTATTTTAATATTTTGCATGTTCTGCTGACTAAAATATTGATGGTGTTTAGTGTAGAAACAGGATGTACATCTTTTCAACAACTTTAGATAAGAGTATTCTCTTCCTCTTTAATAAGAGGAAACCTTTTTTTCTTGTTCTGGGCCCACACTCTATGTACACTATAGAATGTGGGCTCTTATCTCAATTGATAAGGGCCCACATCCTTATTCTTATTGAAATTGCTAAACGATATTTTAATTTCATACTTAATTATAAAACCTAATTTTAATCTTGCAGAGATTGTTACAACTTAATTGGCTAAAATAAATATCGAAAAAGTAAATATAATTTAGAGCAATCAAATTATTAGTAAAATGTCTCATAAAATAGAATAACACAATCACATTAGCAAAAATTAATGTTTTTCTTAATCAGTTTTAAAGATGAAGAAAAATTAGAAATTAAAACCTACAATATGTTATAATCTGTGGCACTAAAACTAAAATACCAAACAAAATATTGTTATTTAATTTTAATTAACTAACAATATTTTGTAACACTTAACACATACACACAATAACACTTTACTAAATACTTTGATTCATATAAAACACAATTGAATATTTTACATAAAATTATTCAAAACCAATAAAAAAAAAACAAAAAAAAAACTTACTTATATTTAAAAAATGGTCGTCTTTAGCTTGTATAAAATTATCAGCCTGTCAAAAATCAATGCAACACCTATAAAACAGAATGTTTCATTATGTAAAACATTAGAAATTTAAAGTTCAGTAATTTTAAAAACAGATTAAAAAATACATACTATTTATATAAGTATATTCAATAATTATACTATTTATGACAACAATTTATGACAACAATAACTATATCATTTATGACAATAATAATAGAAGATAATATGTCATTTCAAGAAATACAAAAATCTTGTGTGCACATTTTACAATGCCTCGTGCAGTTCAGTTCAGATCAGCTATAAGCGTTCGAGTTGACTCTTCCAATATTATACGGAGTATCATACTATTTTGATGGTTTTCTTAATTCTGTCATTGTTGCGCACTCGGTTTAGAATATTTAACTGGGGCGTAGTAAAGTAGCTGTAAAACTCTAAATATTTTTTATTACTTTGATATCAGATAGTTTCAACTTTTTTTTTATTTTAAAAAATAATAAATTTAATAAAATAATTTATTTTAAATCAAAACTTAAAATTTTGAGTTATTATTTTAATAAAAATATACTTTTAAACCCCCCTTACTGTTTTAAAAAATTTTAGGTCGCCGCGTGGCAAGTTCATCAGCTTGCTTTTTTTTTTTAAAAGCACTTTATAGTTTTATAGATTTTATATTCTATATATACATGTTATATACCCATTTTTCTTGCATAATCTCAACTTAGTTGGAGAAAACTTTAAATGTAAAACTAAAATAACATGACAAATAAGCGCAACAAATTTCTCCTGTTTTTTGTCGTTTTTAGAACTTTAAAGCTTTCTTTAAAAATTCTCTTCCTTTCGTTTGTTTAAGTGTAAAATACTTTTACATTTGTTAAGTATATAATCTCTATACATCTTCAAAAGTGATTAGTTTTGTATTTTAAAAAAAATCGAAAAAAATTAAAAAAAAGAGTTCCAGGCACCGGGAGTTAAACCCCGGCTCCCCTGATTAGTAGCTCAGCAAGCTGACCACGAAGCTACGCCGTCTCATCTAATAGTGAAATTTTTAAAAATATATACTTAACGAAAAACTTTATAAAACAGCTATCGGTCAAAATTTAAGGAGATGTTGCCGAAATGCAGTTTTCAAGTGAAAGTAAAACTTAAAAACTTGATACATGTTTTAGTATGTTTTGACATTTCGCATTCTAAAGTTTACGTAAGTTAGTTATTAGCACACACTTTCGTTAATGTTTTCTTATAAAAAGGTGCTGCGACTCTTCCTCGCCAGTACCTCGGTTGCAATGGCTGCGTTGGGTTTTATGTCAAACGTGCTCGAAAAGGTACTACTACTATTAAGTTCAGTATTATTATATAAAGATTACTATTATTATTATTATCTATATAAAAGTTTGCGTTTTTTTTTTAGTGAAAAATAAAAGAGTATTGCAAGCCCTTAAAACCTGATATTGTCTACAAAAGGAAAAGAAGGCAAGAAAAAGAATACGAAAAAGAAAAGAAAAAAATAATACCACCAAAAAAAGTGATAAAAATCAAAGAAAACAGAGATATGAAAATTGGTACATTAAACCAAATTTAGTATTTAATTTAAATCATTTGGAAATCATTGATGGAAAAGAATATTTTGATTATGACTCGAAAACAGATTTTTTTTACTATTATTTAATTTCAACTTTATTTATATATTTTCCTTTAACTTTGTTTCTAAATAAATATTTCTAAGTAAAATGTTGTTTTGTTATTTAAAATATATTTTTAATAACAACCCGACTTTTTAAGGTGGTACTACCCTGTTAAAATCAGCAAAATTAAATAGTTTCTACAAATTCAAACAGTTTGAACATCCTAAATGACGAGAACTACTTTACTTTTCTTCAAAAAATAGCATTATTATTACTAAAAGGCAGCAAGTTTATATTCGAACCCCTAGCAACGGCTTTGGAAACCAATATACAATATTTTATTTTTAATGATTAATTTTTTATGTTTTAAAAAAATAATTTTATTTGATTTAAAATGCACTAAATTTTTCCAAAATTAAAATAAAATATTTCATAAAAAATATTTTGTATTTTTTTAATTTTTTCTTGGTTTTGCTACTTATCTGCTAAAAATCAAAAAATTGGTCCTTTTAATTAATTTTTTTAATCTTAAATACTGGTTTTGCTCCATTTCGCTCGTTTGTCAGTTCAATTTGAAAAAAATTTAACTATTTTTTTTACAATTTTTCTATACCTTAACACTGAATTGAGTTACAATAACTGTTTATAATATGTGTAAATTGCAAGTTCAATTTTAGCTATATTTAAATTTAAAAATTATTAATTGAAGCTAATGGACACAATTTAGAAAATTGTTTTGCAGTTTATATTCAGTTGTGACAAACTCCTCATACCTTAAAACGACCATTAAAAAAAAAATACATTTGATTTTTAGAAACACCATGCAAGAAGTTCACACGTTTTTAACTTATTGTCCATGCATTAGTACTTTTGATGAACACGTTTCTGCTTATAACAAAGGATTTGGTTTATATGTAATGCATATGTTAGCTTTATATGTATTCAAAGAGATTCGTCAAATCTGAAAAGTGTGCCTTCTCAAGGAGCCATTCGTAAACAACAAAAACTAATAGATATGTATTCTTGTCCACCGTTGGCAAAAGCTGTTAAAAAAACTTGTTACTAAAACTCTTTGTATTATTAAAACTTTTTGTATTTTTAAAACTCTTTTAGAAATTATTTTAAAAAATAATAAAAATTGTCGTTTTTTTTTTTTTTTTATTGTTTTAAACTTTTTATTTTTTAGAGTTTATTTTTTTAGCAAGTAAAAATGTCTTTTTGGGACAAAACTATAACAGAGTTGGTAATTGGAAAGAATAACTTGTACGAATGGACTGATGAAGAAAGTCAATATATTTACTTTTTATTAAATTCAACATTTTTTTTTTTTTACACTTTTGCCGATAAAAAAAAAATTTACAGTCGTAACTTAGAAAAAAAAATAATTACATGACCGGGGCTAGAAGAAGACAAATTTAGTCTTATCATTAAGCCCCCAAAAAAGCGTCATTACTAGACAAAATATAGTTTGACAATAAAATATAGTTTCAATGTATATATCTCTGATTTATATTATAAAAGAAAATTTAAATATATCGCATATCGTTTAAAATTTATAGTTTTTCAAAGAATAAGATTTAACAATTGTTTTGTAAAAAAAAAGAATCAAAATTTAATAAAATATTAAAATGACAAAAATAACATTTAAGACTTGGTTTGAAAAAAATAAGAAGATATGATTTTATATAAAAACATTTTATTGGTAGAGCATTTTATAGTTTAACTTATTTAATTATATTTATAATACTTTTCAATGCCAATTAAGTCAAAGCAAATAAACAGTATAAAATAAAAGTAAAAGATTAATAAATAACGCAAAAATAAAAAATAAATTTCTCAAAAAGAAGATTATCATTTAAAATAATAAAAACATATGTACAATTGTTGTTTAATTATGTATTAATAATCTAAAGTAATTAATTAATTAACTTTTAATTATTGATTTCTAATATAAAGAAGTTTTATTAGAAAAAATTTAATTCATTTTCAGTTAACAAAAGTAATTGCTTAAGTTTTGTTTTGAATTGGTTTAGAGAGTAATTAGTTTTCATTTCATTATTTAATATTATGTTCCACAACTTTGGTCATCGGTTTACAATAGAGAATTTAGTAGCGGAATAATAAGTTTTGGATTGAATGTAGTTGCATTTTGAAAATCTTGTTGGGTATATGTGATTTATTTTTTCAAAAATCGAATAAAATAAGATTGTTAATATATTTTTATCAAGTTTCAACATGAAAATAAGAACTTGATTGAGGTTTAGTTTATATACATTTAGGATATTGAGTTCATTAAAAAGTGTTTATGTGTGTGAAAAACGATCTACGTTTGAAATTATCCTTATAGCCTGTTGTTGTTTGCTAAGCAAATTCGTAGAGCAATTAAATGCTTTAAACGCTATACAACAAGAATCGTTTATAAAAAGTTTAAAGTTTATTTATAAATTAAATATTTTTTTAACAACGCTACCATAATTGTCAGCGACCAAAATCTATGAAATAATTACGACAAAATATATATTTACTGTAAGAAATAGATATCATTATAAATTTAATACATGTCAATTTTATTGAAAAATTATATTGTTAAAAAAATTCATTCAGTTTTTTTTTTTAAATGAACATATTGCATTTTTAAGATTCATTTGTTTCCAAATATATTAAACTTTTTGTTAAAAATATATTATACAAAAAATGAATAGAAAGTAGAGTAAAAAAGACTATTTCTGTCAAATATATAAACTAAAAATTGCAAACAACCTAGTAAAAGTATTATTTTATCAAAGAAAAATATACAAAAAAATAAAAAATGAATTTATTTGAATTAGTTTTTAGATAAAATAAAAATATGTTTTTTCATAAATTGTTTAATTATTTCTAACATATTTTGTATAAAAAATGACGAAGCAATAATATTAAATCAAATGAGTTTTAAAATAATTAATAATATTATTTGAAATTTTAAAAGTATATTTTACACAATACGAGTTTGCAATAGCAAATATTTTTAAATCCGCACAATAATTATACAAAAATGAGCTAATATAAATTTTTATTATAAAAAAAAAAGAGATTATAAATATTTTTGTATTTCTTGTTTTATCTTGTTATAACATAAAAATATATCCTCAGCAAAATACATTTTTTTAAAAATTATAATAACTCATGTTATAACACATTTTTTTTTTAATTGTTTTAAATAATCTGTTTTTTAAATATTAATACACATAAAATTTTAATAAAATGTTTAAAGAGATTCGTGACCTGCTATAATAAAAGTTGCACAATAACACGTTTCTTCAGGAAATAAACTTGTTTATGAAGATATTCATAATACATTCTAAGCGTCGATCTTAAATATTCTTTAAATTTATCCATAACTTTTTTGTTAAATTTGAGATTCCATTTATAATTAATAATAAAAGCAATGCATTTTCCGTCTTTCCATAACGCAATCCATTATTTACATCCACGCGATCAATACTCCTTGGTTTAAAATATTGCTTTTGCAAAAGAGCGTGCAGTTCAATATTAAGTTTTTGAGTCAACGTACACTTTTCTTCCCATTGAAAATAAGACGTTTTAAGAAATAAAATAATGAATATTTTTTAATGAAAAAAATTTAAACTAACTAAAAACATAAATATATACATCATTTTAAAACATATACAAAACACAAAAAAATAATAAGAAAGTGAAATACAAAAAGAAAAAAAATATTTAAATTTCATTATCAGAAATGATAACTACGGCGTCTTTCTCATCGTCAGAAATGACAACTTAAAAGTAAACTCTATAAACTTTTCTTGGTTATATACTTTAAAAAAAATATTATTTATCAAAAACATACTGATTTAATTGTGAAAATCATCAATTCAAATTTCTTTAACATCTAAATTTACTTCAGGAGAGTTTTCGCTCTTTCCTTTTAGAAAATATAAATTTATTTGATCAAAGTATTTTACTCTGAAATTTTTTTAGTTTCTAAAAACAAAACATTAATAATTACTATCAAAATCTTGAAGGTTGTCATTTCTAATGACTTCCAATATTTATTAAAAAATCCTCTCCTGCTCTATAAAAAAAAAAAACATGCAAAAATTAAACAAATAGTAATTTAAATAAAAACTGTACATAAGTTTCATGTGATGTCTAATATGTTTAACCCTTCCTATTTAAGAGCCTGTCCTATTCAAAATAACGTTATTTTGAACCATTGAGTAATAGTTAAAAACTATTTTACAAGGATTACTATTTAAAAAAATAGTTACTAAAAAAAACATGACGTCCCAGCCGGCATTATTACGTTGTTTCAACGTTGAAATTCGATTGAAGCGTTGTTTCAACGTTGTTCAACTATGTCAAAACGTTAAATCAACGTTACCGTTTAAGCGTTGATTATTTAACGTTATTTCAACGTCATTGTTTCAATCATTGTTGACAAAAAATACAATATAAAATTTATGCGCGCGCAGAAATGGAATTAAAAACGTAAACATTATTTCAACGGTTAAAGTTATAGAGATTTATAATGGAAAAAAAATGTAAATACTGAACTTATACCATATAGAATTTTCAAAAAATCGAAAACATGTTCAGACGATTTTCCTGAAAGAACATTACCGTTTAAAAATCGGTATTTTTCGTTTAACTTGGGCTACAATGCTCAAAGACTGATATTATCAAATGTAAATATAATACAACTTTTTCAAAAAATGATCCATTAAATTATGTTGAATTTAATGCTAAGCGTTGTTTTTTAACAGAGCATCAAGAATTAAAAAAGGAAATTGATAACTTTAAAAAAGAACTTGTGTACGAAATAAAAAAATAAAGATTTATATGAAAAATTAACTTCAACCACATCAGTTATTACTATGAAAACAGACAGATTTGTATATAAACATAATCCAAATAAATCGTGTTATTGCAATTTACTTGTATACAAACATTTATTTTAAAAATAATAGATCTTGCGACTTTTATACTGGTCTTACATCTGTCAATATGTAACATCAGTTAGTGCAGTATCACCATTAATCAAAAGAGATAAAGTGATATTAAAAAAAACATTTACTTCTGTTTTTTGAAATTTAAAAAAATCCTTAACTACTTGGACCAAAATAAATGTAATGCAGCAAAGATGAATTTTTAATGATGCTAATACTTGGATTATTGACAGCTGATTTTGCTGAAAGGTTTAATATGTTTTAAGGATTACTGGTAGCGAATGCAATATTTTCTTCATTGTTGAAAGCTTCTAGCTCACTTTTAAACCACATGGTTTTTGTTCCAAGTAAAGATGTTATAAGACAGGCAATGCAAAACAGATTTTAGAAATTAAATTATTCAGACTAACACTAAAGTTTAGATATAACAGAATTTATTACGGAATCACCTTAAAACTTTGACTTAAAGAAACTAACAGGGAATGAATACAAACATTACAACAATATAAAAACATTAGTACCCGTAGCTCCAAATTCATCAATAATTTCTTTAAAAATTTTCTAAAGCTTACAGAAGCTAAATTTCGGATAAAAAAATTACATATCGCAACAATTATTTAGATTTTATTACAAAATACTCTTGTATAATGTATGAATAAAGCTTTAATATTAATTTTTTGATACAAATGAAGTGATTTTAATTAAATCCATTTTTATCAGTCACTTTAAAAATATGATGAGTATTTGTATAAAGATAATTAAAATTTCAAACAATATTATTAGCTTTACTTGTTGTTTTTTTTTAGGTGAATCAATTGCAATTGATGGAATATCTTTAAAATGCTGAGGTAATTAAAATAGTTTTTAATTATTCAGGAATTTTAAGGATTAAATTGTTTAGCAAAAAAATTTTATGATAACAAGTTCAATTTAAATTAAAAAAAAAATTAATATTATTTCTCGCATAATTAATATCAGTTCTCTTATCTATTAAAATTTAGAATATTTTCCAACAATTTTGTGACCTCCATTAATATGAAGGAGAATGGTGGAAATATGCTTTAAGAGCACGAACTTATATGCGGTAGTGAAAGGTATATCTTTATAAAATATGTAAAACCTTTTTATTCTCATTTTTTATATATTCAAAAACTTCTCCTTGTTTTTTTTTTTTTTTTTTTTTTTTTTTTCTTATTCTTTTTTATTAACAGCTTCTTCTATTAAATACGATGGAGCGACTGAAACTTTAATTGATGGCATTTTGTCTAACTTCTGAAAATGCGCTTCATTTCGAAAAGATGGCGGAAAACAAAAAAATTTAGATTGATTGATATAAATTTATATTTATGAAAATCAATCTAAAATTTCTTTATTGAAATATTTACATATATTTCAATAAAGAAATATTTTCTTTTTGTCTGTTAAAAATTTTTTTTTTCAGTGTTAATTCAACATTGCAAATTAAAACTCAATTATGAAAAAAGCCTGGAATTGAGTTTATGTTTTAAGTAAAATAAGAAAAGCCCAAAAAGTAAATGATGTAATTTTTTTTTTTATTAATAAAAAAAATTTTTTTAATAATGTTTTAAATTGGTATTAATATTAACGTTTATTAGATGAAGATGAGTGAAAAATAAGTAATGTTTATTAGATAAAGATAAGTAAAAAAATAAGTTACAAGTTGTTTTTTTGTCTTGAAAATTGTTTGAATAACAATTTATAATTTATCAAAATAATTTCTTTTTTAATTTTTGTTGTTTTTATATTTTAATTAAAATTCGATATTATTGTGTCATATATTATATTATACCTTATATTACACTATTATATTTTATATTAATAATGAGTATTTTTGTTTTTTTGTATTTCTATTTTTTTTCAATATTCCATAATTATCTTATGTAGATGTTTATGTTTTAGCAACCTAGTATTCTTTCATTATTTGTCTTTGTTATTGAGCCTTAAATTATTTGAAAAAAATATATTCAGAGCTCTGTTGAATAATAAAGTAATAAATAAACTAATAAAAATGAGTTTAAAATATAATAAATTTATTAAATAAAGAAAATCTTATCTTTGCTTATAATGTCTACTAATATTATTGTTTAGCAAGTATCATGGTTATAAAATGTTCAAATTTAGCTAGTTTATTAGGCCTGTTAGTACACTTATATTGTGGTTTCTTCATTTTATATTAGTTCATGTAATTTTTTCAAAATCGAATATGCGGAAAAGAGCTGTTTGGAATGAAGATTTAAAAGAAAAAGTAATTCCATCTAATTGGATTAGTGATAAAACTGTTTGTCGGCTTCCAGGTACCAAAGCATTGACTGCACTAAAATGCAGAGAAGAATTGGCTTAAGTTTATACAAATAAAAACTAAATTCTCTTCAGGTATTACATCTATATATTACAGTTAATTTTTTTAAAATAATGCGGTAAGAAGAGTTATTTTGTTGATACAAAATATATAACTATTTGTATAACTATTCAAAATAAAAGCAAACAGAATTGTGAAAATTTTAAATTCACAACTACAAAAGAAAAATGTGATAATGAGAATGTTGACAAGTGGATGCAAGATTTGCACACAAGTGGAAACTTGGATGCAAATAATCCACTTGTGTGGTTTGGATGGTTCTACACAATAAAATATATCTCTACAAGCATATTATTAGATTTACTTCATGTTTTTTTACAGATAAATCAATTACAGTTAATTGGTGGAATTACCTCGTTTATAATCAGGGTGTCTGCAGCTCCTCTAAAATCCTCTTAAGTCCTCTTTTTTAAAACCACTTCTAAAATCCTGTATTATCCTCTAAAGAGGTAAAAATTTGATCAAAGCTCCTCATTAATTCTTCCTTTTTTAATTTTTGATGGATGTATAATGTTCAAAATACCCATTCTTGGTCTGCAAAACTGGTTAACGCCATAAAGTGCATGGAATTGTAAAAAATTGCTTTAAAAAATGCATGCTATTTAACATAATAAATGACATTATTTGATCCCTGTCCATGCCCCATAAGTGTATAAACATGGACGTTAAACCATTAATAAATGGCCACATAAAATTTCTTATAAAAATTTTATGTGGCCACCCCAAAAATTAAAAAAAAATTTAAAATGCTAGAAATGTTTTATATTTTGATTAATAATTTATTTTTAATATATTGAAAAGGTTGCTTTATTTAAATTAAATATTTGAAAAAGTTATTAATATTCAACTAATAGTTATATTATTTTTTTAAAATTCAGAGTATTTTCGAAAAGTTATATGGCCTCCATGGATATATAGGGCAAAGGTGGAAAAATATGTTTTAAGAACACTAATCTATATGGCGTTGAAAAAGATACACCTTCTTAAGTTGTAACGCTTTTTCATTCATTATTTGTTTTTTAAATCTTCCCTTTTTGTTTATTTTTAATATATTTTTTTTATTTACAGCTTCTTCTATTGTATTCAATGGACGAAAAGAACCCTCGGTTAATGGAACATTGTTTGACTTTCTAAATTACGCTTTATTTCAAAAAGGTGGTGGAAAAGAGAATAAATTTGTGTAGATTATATTCAATTACATGTAAATATATATAATATTTGAATATGTATTTTTAAATAAAACAAGTTTTATCTCTTTCTTAAATCATACATAGCTATTTTAACTAAACTAAACTGAAAAAGTTATAAATAGTCTAAGTATAGACTTTGAATAGATTTAATATTCATAATATACCTTGATAATGTACAGCAGCACTAATGTACATGCATAGTACTTTTTGTTGGTGATCATATTTTGACGCATATAGCACGTTTACATACATGTATACATTTTGACATACATTACAGGTTTTGATGGTGAAAAAGTGTTTTACAGTCGTTTAACGTTGATAAACCAACGTTAAACACTAATATTTTAAACATTGTATCAACGTAAATTCGACGTTGTTGTAAGGCTTTTTCGCGTCGAATCAACGTTGATATAACGTTTGAATCTAACGTTGATTTAACGTTGATAAATCAACGTTGAAAAAAAATTTCATTCTAAACGTTAAATCAACGTTAATTCAGCGTTAGGTTTCAACGATATTTCAACGTTATTTCAACGTAATTTGCCGGCTGGGGCATAACCCTTCCTATTTAAAAACTTATCCTAATCAAGATGATGTTATTTTAAAGCTTTGAAAAATGAATTATAAAACACTTTAAGAGAATTACTATTTAAAATAGGTTTAAAAAAAATATTATAACGTTTAACCCAGCCTACTTAATATGATGATTTAAAAACCAATCCTATTTAATATGATGTCATTTTGAACCAATCCAACTCATGATGATGCCAATTTGAATCAATCCTATAGAAGATGTCAAGTTGAACCATTTTTATAAAAGACGGATGATGTCATTTCCGACCAATCCTATAGACGTCGGATGATGTCAATTTGAACCAATGCTATTCCAGTTGACAGATGATGTCACTTTAAACCAATCCTATTCGAATTGACGTCAAGTTAAACAAACCCTACACTAGAAAAGTTTGACGAATGTCGGGTTTCGGAATGCTGAACCTAACATATGAAAAATTTTTAATATCGACCAATCACCAAAGAAAGTTTTAGTTGAAGGTATTATGCTCATAAAACAATTTTCATAGGTTAGTAAATTATTTTTATTTTTTAATTCAAGAAGAACAAAAAGGTGAAAAAATGGCTCAATAGTTTGTATTTTGTATATTTGCTTGCAATCATATGCATGATTGTCAAATGTATCTGTTGAATTGCCTGTTTTTCAACTAAAAGTATGTCCATTTTTGCGGTTTCTTAAATTGTTTGTTTTGAATTTTGAAGTGTTTAGTCCATTATATTCATATATAGCCCATTATATCCATAAGTAGTCACATTTTCTTGTTAAATGACGTAGAGTAAAATTTTGAGCACGTTATTTGTCTCATTAAGTTTTTTGGTTGTTTGGAGGCAATTGTTGGTTGAATACTTAAAAAAACAATATTCAATCTTACATTATCATTTAAACTAAGTAAAAGGTTAGCTTCTATTAAAATTGGTTGATATATTAAATTACTTAATAAAGTAGTCACCAAAGGAAAAAGCTCTTATGATTGCTTTATTGGCGCTGGCTCTTGTTAATTTGCATTTTGAAATGCTTTCGCTGTTATCATAAACATGGTAACGACACTCTTTTAACGATATTTTAAGTTCTGCTAGTTGTAATTTTTCAGTAGCTTAAACAGATCTAAAACGGTTATTCTTTCAACAAGGTTAAAAGGTATGTTTGTTTTAATATGACACAGATAATGTCTATTAAATATAAACAGTCATGAGTGTTTGTTTTTTCGAAAAACAGTCGTTTTAATGTATTTTTTTAAAGGATAACCGGTACGTTTAGAAAATTAACTGCAAAATATATTTTTTTTATCCTCTTAGACATCGATGCTAATTTCAATATGTAAAACTAATTGAATCATGTAATTCTATAAGGTATATGCTTGTCCATCAATAAGTTCTTTTTGAAAATGTCTATATCTGTATATACACACAAAACTATTTGTACAACAAGTTAAATGTTGTGATTACAGGTTAATTGTCAGTGGGCACAAAACCTAAGATTAAAAGATACAAAAATTTAAAACGTTAAACTTCATAAAATATTTAAGTAAACTGCTAGTAGATATTTAGGAGTTTTTCGCTCGTAAAGAAAACACAATTTAAATAATCTAATAATTTTACTTATTACTTAAATCGTTATTTAAATAACTTATTAATTAGTGCATATTTTATTATAACTGACTATTTTAATGACAAATTGTCTAATTTTTCAAATAAAAGACTTTTAGGTATTTTATATAATATTAAACATAAAAGCAATACACTAAATGTCAAACTAAAAAACCCGAAAAATATTGAGTATATTTTTGTTTATTTTTGTTTTTAACAAAATTAGGAGTCTGGTCTCAAACAAACTCGGCATTCTTCTTTACGCATTGCGTTTAACAAATGAATATGTTCTTTGATTATTAAAAATTCTTTAAGAATATCGTTTTTATCTGCCGAAAACTTTTCGTAACTTAAATTACAGTTCGAAATATTTTTTAGAGAAATATCGTTAGTTTTACCAAACTCGGAATCATTGTGAACTTTTTTGTGTTTTTGACGCCTATATACCTTGCAAATCAAATAAACAATATCTTTAAAAACAAGAACACTAATCAAAGCTAAAATGACTATTGCTGTGTATTTTATGTAACTTTCATTCCAAACATCTGTAAATTTTTGTTTTTCTTCAGTGTCGATCTAAGAAGTAAAGAAATTATAAACATTTAAATAGTGTTTAGTTTATACCCAGCGGGCATTTGTTTTTAAAAGTTACCTTTTAAATGTATTTAAATGCCTTTTAAACGTCTTCTAGACATTCTTACGTAAAGAACGTTTAAAAGACGTTTAAAAACCGTTTAAAAAACATTTAAAACGTTACTTTCAAAAACAAATACCCAAAGGGTAAATACTTTTTATAAGAAAACAAACTTTGATAAAACCTTTGAAAATAACCAAAATTTTTTAAATAAATAACTATATGGTAAGAGATGAAAATAATTTTTTTTTGTTCGTCACATAAGGTTTTTTTTAATAGAAACAAATCTACAGTCCCACAGTTAATCTAAAACTACATTTCTTACTATCGGAATTTTTCCATAAATCTCTTGTATATTTTTAAGTATTTCTTTTACATTTAATTTTCTTATGCAATTCAAAACATCGTCATTTTGTAAGGCGGTAGATGGATATGCATAAGACATGAGATAAGTCTCAATACCAAAAACTATGAGTATTGGCGACAAAGCGTTTAAAAGCTGCACAAGAACAACATTAGAATAATCATTTTTATAATCCATGTTTAACAAAACATCAGTGTTGATAACTCCGTAGTCAACTTTATTATCATTTACATCTTTGAATACATCATTGTACGAATAATATACTAAATATTAAAAATATTATTTGCAATAAATATTCAGTCAATTAAAGTTTACGATTTTTATCAAAATTTTTACCAGTTTAAACCTAAAATTAATAATAAAAATTAAAACAATTACAAATTCCAAAAAACTATAAAGATTATTTGCTCAACAAATATCAAATGTTTTAATAAAAGATTTTAACAATACTCATATTTCAACACTTTTGTGACACTTTCTTAAATTAACAGGTTTCTTATAAATTTTTTTTACTTGAATTTATATAGAAAAAATATTTAAATATAGTTAAAAATAGTGTTGAGATTAGTAATCCAAGAGTTCTAAAAATAGTTATAACCTCAATTAATATTTTTCGTTATCCATTATTCATTACATAGTAAATTGAAAGTTGCTGTTTTTTGCCTCATTCTTAAGTGACTTAAAAAACTGAAAATTTAGCTTTGACAGTTTAAACACCTTTAAATACTAAGTTCTAAATCTTTTGCTTTGATAAAAAAGGAAATTATAACTATGCAATATATAATTAGAGTTGTACTAGTCAAGGATTTACAGAAAAGAAAAAGCATTATCTCATGAAAAAATTGAAGATAATATGTATATATATAATACTGTATATATATAAACATTTTACGTTGTAAAATGTTTATATATATAAACATTTTACAACGTTCTTATTTACAAGCTTTCTTTTTTAAAATTTTTATTTTTCTGTCAAAAATACAAAAATATGTTTGTGTTTGGCAAATCAAGCAAATACATTTCAACAACATTTTTAAAAGAATTTATTGAGGTTTTACTTTTCATATTTTTATCAACAACTGTATTCCATAAAAAAAGTCTTTAATATGAAATTCAATAATTTGTTTTTTTAAGATTAGACTTAGGTAAAATGAAGTTGTAAACGGAGCATCTCGTTAAGTATTTATGGTTCTTTTTTGAAAAGTAATTATTAAAAAATTTTGGTAGCACGTCATTTTAATGTTTAAGCATAAATAATAATTTTTGGAAGAGTTTTAACTCATGAGCATTAAGTGCTTTTATTTCTTTGAATAACGGCTTAGCGTGGGTGTATTTATGCTCGTTACAAATAATTCTACATGCTTGTTTTTGTTTGATATATATATTTTTTAATGCTGAAGTGCGAGTACTTGCCTAAGCAATACTACAATAGCTTATGTAACAGTGGATAAATGAGTAATATATGTAATAGTAGATGTTTTATTTTATGCATAATGCTTATTAATTTAGAAAATTTGTTTTCAATGAGCACAATATGATTTTTCTAATTAAGATGTTTATCAAATATTACTCCTAAGACTTTCATTGATACGACTCTTTTTTACAATAAAGTTATTTATCATTAGCTGAGGAAGTTAAGGAGGCAAGTTATCGGGTTTATTTGGTTGATGAAATAAAATATGTTTAGTTTTATTGATGTTCAACGAGAGTTATTTACTTTAAACCAATCACTAAGATTTTCCAGTTCACGATTAATGTTGAGAAAATTGTTTTTATATTAGGGTGCGAATAAAAAAGATTAGTATCATCGGCAAAAAAGAATAAATATAAGCATATCTGAGGATAAGTACATATCATTCACATAGATTAGAAACAACACGGGTTCTAGAATTGAGCCGAGGGGAACTTCACAATTTATTGGTTCCAGCTTTGTAAAAGTTGAGTTGTAACATCCTCCTTGTCTTTTAATTTTTAGATAACATCGTAGCGACATTAGGTTTCTGTTTTTCACTCTGTATGCTTCTAGTTTGTGAAGAAGAATTTCATGATCAACAGTGTCAAAAGCTTTTGCCAAGTCAATAAACAAATCCAGAGTATGATTTTTGTTACCAAACCCATCTAGAGTTTGTCTGGCTAAATCAATTAATGTATGATGAGCCAAATGCTCTTTTTTAAAACCAAACTGTTTATTAAATAAGATATTATGTTTTTCAAGATAAATATATAATCTGTTATACATAATGCGTTCAAGCATCTTTGAAAAACAAGAGAGAATGGATATTGATCTGTAGTTAGATGGTATAGAATCATCGCCATTTTTGTATACTGGAACTATTCCTGCTATTTTTAATTGACCAGGTAAAACACCAGATGCTAATGACAATTTAAAAATTAAATACAGAGATAATTCGATGACATAGAAAACTGCTTTTAGAACATTAACATTATTATTTTCAAATCCTCCACTCTTATTATTATTTTTAAGTGCGTTAAGAGAAATTCGAAGTTCATTCACTGTGTTTTGTGAGTGAGTTTTTATTTTAAATAGGATTGGAATTTTTTTTAACGAAGTTCTATCTGCTGCTTAGTTTGTCCCTATATTTATAAAGAATTTATTAAAATTTTCAAGAATTGAGAAACCATGTAATTGTTAAGATGCCACATTGAGAAACCATGTAATTGTTAGTAATAATATTATCAATAACTGAAGAAGTATTATGCGTTACTCGTGTTGGTTTGTTTATTATAGGTATTACGCTATTCTAAAGAAGAGTATTTACAAACCGTTTGGGGTAACATTATTATTTTATTAATCATTATTTATTTTTTGAATATCTATTTTAAAATCACCTGTTAAATAAACGTGCTTTTTAACGACTTTTGACAATATATTCTTTAAGTGGTTTCCAAACGCATTAAAATTTCCATTAGGTGGTCTGTAAAGAGCAGTTATAAAGATATTTTTGCTTTTTTGATTGATTATTTCAATTGTTAATGACTAGCAATCTTCGTCACTAACACTGAGATCTTTTTTTACTGAGGATTGTTTAAAAGTAAAGGAATTAAGAATAAAAGTACATACGCCTCCACCACTGCTATTTTCCCTTGGTTATGTATTGAATTATAACCAGATAAACAAAGGTTAGAGTTACATTCATCTCCATTTTGACACTATATTTCCGTTAAACAGGTTACAGTAAATTTATAATTTAAGTTGTTAAAGATTAGCTTTAGGTTTTTAAAGTTTTTAGTCATGCTTCTAATGATCAAATTTAATAAAGAAAAACAAGAGAGAAAAGATTATAAATAATTAGATGTTTCATTTACATTAAAAAAATTAGTTTCTATTAAAAAATTGTTAAAACCATTCACACCAGGGTCATTGTTATTTGTTAAAAGTACTTAATTTCTTTAGTAGATATATCAAAAACATTTAAAAAATTATTTTCCGACATTTAAAAAGATATATACTACAATAATTAAATATTTATTTAAATATGTTAATTTTTTTTTGATTCTTTTTTACTAAGTTTAAAAAAAGAGTTTTTTGAAACAATAATTTTGTCATACAAGACCAAAACATTTTCACCGTTTAATCGTCTTTCCTTTCCTTCAGCCAATAATCTTTTTCTTATATCCACAGTTTTAAGGGAGAAGTCATTCACATATGTATTAGTTCCTTTGAGTCTGTAGGATTTTTGGAGAATCTTTATTTTGTCCATATATCTTAACAAACTTAACACAATTGTTGTGGGGCGTCCATTGTTTTTTAATCCAGTTTGATGAGCACGCTCAATATCAACTCTAGTTATTCCTAATTTATTTCTGAAAACCAATTAAACTTTATCTTCCGTTTCATTCCAGGTTTCTTTATCATTTTCTGGCTATCCATTGATCCGTAGATTCTTTCTTCTGGATCTATCTTCTAATTTTCTGTGTTTTTCGTTGATGTTTTCATTTAACAATGTTTCTTTTTTTTTGAGGATTCGATTGCTTGTTCGTTAATAATGGCATGTTTTTATCAAATAACTCGTCATGGAAATTTAAACTTAATTCAAATCGTCTACATCTTTAACTAATACCATTACTTGCTAGCGTTGTCATTAGTTTTTTTTCAACTTTGTCTAGTCTTTGATTGATTATCTTTGTGTTTGCACTCAATATGTCGATAATAATTTTCTCTTGTTTTTTCAATATTATTGTTGTTTCTTTTTTATATCCTATAAACATTGCTGTAGTCTCTTTTTTATAATCAGAAAACATTTCCTTTAACTTTTTTTGAATCTCAACAAGCGTAACTGCCATAATTATCAACTTTCCACTTTTTTTTTTAAATGAAATTAAACTTTTTTCCCAGTTACCCCAAAATGAAAAAATAAAAACACGTCTGCTTACTTTACACGTCCGCTTACCTTTCACGTCCGTAACGATTAAAGGTTGGGTGCAAGAGCAGGTTATCTAGACTTTTCACTATAGAAAAGTCAACGTAGGAAATCATATACAATACAGAAGCCGGAGTAATACAATTATAAAGCAATTGATAAACGTTTTTGTTCGCTATATCAGGTAGGATGTTATTAGGGAAATTGAGAAGTGAGATTAAATAAAAGTTTTTTGCAAACATTTCAGCTTTATTTTTAGGCAAGGTAGTTTGAAGACCACAAATATAAGTGATGAAAGATTTAGAGAACTTGGTGATGACAATAGTTTGTGTTTAAAAGTTTTCTATTTAGTAACTTATTAAATTGGTTAAAAAGAATGAGATATAGTACCTAGTGCACTATCCAATGTTCTAGGTAATTGCCTTATTATATCAACAAAGTTTCTGAAACCTGACTACCAGCCGACCTCAGAACCATATAACTGAGTTTCAGAGATGTACTCTCTTTAGAAGATAATAGAATGAGTTGCCTAGTTTCAAAAAAAGAGGCACAATTAAATGTGTTTCTGTTTTTGAAATGCAATGAATAAAGATTATAATAAATTGTTTCCAATTTAAGATGTTAAATCCAGCATTCAACTTAAATGCATCTGCGTCATCCTAATAGATGCAGAACGGAGGAAAAGCTGTTTAAGAGATTCTTACTTAAAAACACCTTCTACATGCCAGTAGCCAGATGTTTTTAAGGTCTCCCTAAGATGAGTATTTAAGACACCAATTTCTCAAATAAGTGCCCCAAGACAGTGAGTTTCATTAAGTCAGAGTTGTCATCTCTTATTTTTTGCCTAAAAAGCGTATCCTGAAAAGGCAACAGGAAATAAA